CACAAGCGATCACACTCGCAGGCGTGCAACCCGCCCTTCTCACACAGCCTGCACGTTCACAAGCGTGCAACCCGCCCTTCTCACACACCCTGCATGTTCACAAGCGTGCAACCCGCCCTTCTCACACAGCCTGCACGTTCACAAGCGTGCAACCCGCCCTTCTCACACACCCTGCACGTTCACAAGCGTGCAACCCTCCCTTCCCACACACACCCTGCATGTTCACAAGCGTGCAACCCATCCTTCTTACACACACCCTCGCACGTTCACAGGCATGCAACCTGCTGTTCTCTCACACACCCTGCACATTCACAAGTGTGCAACCCTCCCTCCTCACCCCCCCGCACGTTCACAGACATGCAACCTGCCCTTCTTACACCCCCCCGCACGTTCATATCCCTTCCCACACACACCCTGCATGTTCACAAGCGTGCAACCCATCCTTCTTACACACACCCTCGCACGTTCACAGGCATGCAACCTGCTGTTCTCTCACACACCCTGCACATTCACAAGTGTGCAACCCTCCCTCCTCACCCCCCCGCACGTTCACAGACATGCAACCTGCCCTTCTTACACCCCCCCGCACGTTCATAAGCGTGCAACACTCCCTTCTCACACATCCCCACACATTCACAGGCATGCAACTCGCCCCCTTCTCACACACACCCCGCACGTTCACAGGCATTCACCCTCCCCATCACACACCCTTTGCACACTCACTAGCATGTAACCTGCCCATCCCAGACACAAACCGCACGCTCACAAGAATGCAACCCTCCTGTCTCACACACCCACGACACAGTCACGCGTGCACAACCCTCCTATCTCGTACACCTCTCCCACACGTGCAAGCATGCCTCTGCCCCCCTCACACTGCCCACACGCTCACAAGCTTGGAACCCAGCCGTCTCACGCGCTCACAAGCGTGCACACGCCCGTCTCTCGCACACACACCCCTCCCCAGGCCGTGTCCCCGCAGCGGGTACTTACGGCGCGCAGGGCGCCCAGCAGCTGGGAGTAGGAGAAGCAGATGAGCGAGAAAGGCACGATGAAGCAGAAGACGAAGAGGAACCAGGTGTAGTACTCGCTCTTGTACTTGGTCCCCACCGTGTACCAGTCCGGGCCGCACGAGCACTGCAGCCCTTCGGGGATGAACCTGCAAGACCAGGGACACGGCGCTGCCCAGAGGCTGCCCTGCTCCCCCTCCGCTG